GGCCAAAAAAAAATCGTTGATTTCTCAAAAATCTGAATAAAAAACCTCTTTTGATGCTTTAGCAAAAAATTTTCTTTGAGCAAGTTTTCTATATAATCTGCTAAACATCTAACCCTAATATAAACGTTACCCTAACATTAATAATAGTGAATTTTCGTGCCACAACCAGCACATACAAATTTTGCAATTTGACTGGTTGATTTTCGACCATTTTATCATGTGATATTTTCAAATCTGATAGATTTTTTGTTGAACTTCTGATATTCTTGTTTTTTTTTGCTATATCCAATATTATTTAGCTGAAATTTATACAATTTTTTTTCATTGTAAAATAGTTATCGCTATAAACGTTTAACATGACATATGTAAAATCATCACACGAATATGCAAATTGTTGACATTGCAGAATCCCCGAAATTTTAATATCCGTATTTGATTTTTTTTAATACATTTATTAGTTAAATCGATTTATACAAAAGCAATATGATAGACAGAAATAGTTAAGCAAAAAAAAATATTGCTAAAAAGCAATACTTTATTAATAGTTGATACTATAGAAATATCTACTTAAGGTGGTGATGCTGTTGATTAGTTAGGAGGTGGTGCTGTTGATAAGTTAGAAGGTTGTGTTGTTGATGAGTTAGAAGGTTGTTCTGTTGATAAGTTAGGAGGTTGTGCTGTAGATGAGTTAGAAGGTTGTGGAATATTTACAGAAGGTGATTGTAGTGCAGAGCTTGGTGGGAGGATCAGTGAGCTTAACCAGCGTTGTAACAGGTTCAAGTTTCTTTCGAAATCGCTTGGATCATCTAAAAGCATATAGCTATTGTATTAGCATGAATATAATTTATAATTAATGATAGATACTTATTAGGATGTAACCAAAATAAAGTTCAAAAAACATTCTCCTATAGAATATACTTTTGCCACAACCTCCATTTCTGTACAGGATCATTTGCTGTAAAATAAAGCAATTAGTAAACTAAAATAATAATTATATAACAGTTATAATAATAAATTACATATATTGAAGTTGCGCACTAACTGCTGAAATCACTCACTACATTGTTTGCCGTTGTAGTTTGTACCAAATCGGATATTTATTTTATTAGCTATATCATCCCAAAAATCATTCTTTTTTCTCATCATATGGTATTCACCATTTCATCTCTTCCTTTCATTCACTAAAAATCTGATTTGAGAAATTTCCCACATTGAAAGAAATTTGCGAAAAAAGAAATTTATGAAAAAAAATTAAATAATGATTCAAATTGTATCTTATTTAAAAAATCAAATATGATGTAAGTTCTTACTGTAAGTAAAAAATACAAATCCCGTTAGTCTAAATTATACGTACATATATACACAGTCTATTATAAAATTGAGGTAGGTTAGTGGTGCCATAAAAATGTCGTGGTGACATGATCGTCGACCGTTTCTGATTCATTTGATTGTCCGAATTTAATACTGATCAAATAGTTGATATATTGATAATACTGTAATATATCAATGTTATTATGATCAATACATTAATAGATCGGAAACGGTCAGAGATCACACGACTGCGACATTTTTATAGCACCACTAACCTACCTGATAAAATTGTAATCATATGTTAATATATATTACATATCTTGATTTAATAATGGTAATATATATACATAGATTAATTTGTAAGCATATATCTATTTAGATTAATCCGTAATTATATAGTACATAGATTAATTCATGATCATATAGTATTTGCTGTAAATTTGCTTTAACTTTAAAGCTAAGAAGAATAGATTCTATACTAAAATTTTGTAAGGAATTGTTTTTGTTAGAACGCAAGAGGTGGTTTTTTAGACAAAATTTTGAGTTATTGGCGGTTTTTTGAAAAATACCAACAAATTTCATGTTACACCTGATCTTATGATCTACATACAAAAATTTCCTTTTTCTGGTTTGTATCATGGTGGGAAATAAGGTCACTAAAGTTATTGATTCGTAGTCATATAGCTGCACGTATTGATTCTATAGATGCAGACATATGCCAGTGTCATAATTGATCTTAACGTCAATTAGACATAACTCAAGATATGTCGGTATGTCAAAAAGCTATAACTAATGTTTGCTATAGCATTTGACATGTGCTATAATATTTGATGTGTGCATAATATTGACTTTGCCGTATATAGTTTTATGTGTGCTGTAAATTTTTGATTTTTGTATTGTAAATAGGAACAGAATTTAAGCGAATTCAGAAT